ACTTTAAAACGTATAAATTACGACTTTAATGAATTGTGTAATGTGTTACTATTTTTAGGTACATTTCCCCCTGTTATCAAAATGATCAAAATATTAATGATCCCGATCTACATTTTCAAAACAATCTAATTCTGGTCAAATTTGCAGATTGCTTGGCCTATTGTGGATGAGTTTTAAACTCATCCCCAGTAGACCAAACAATCTGCAAATTTGACCAGAATTAGATTGTTTTGAAATTCTGTATTGCAAATCATTTGACAAAAAATACTTGTCTTTTAGTATCTTACAATAAACTACCTTAACTGTCACACCAATTTAGATTCATAATTTTAATTAGCTAAATGCCACGGTCTACAAAATGTTGACCCGCATTATACAATTGTTATATAATTTTTGGCCGAAATTAAGTTTCTAACTTTTTTATTACAAAAATATAAATTTTTAGGGAAATAGGTTTTCATTATAGTAAAATTAGTTCAGGAACATTTTTTATATAATAGGCAGATATGATTTCAGTAGTAAAATTTTGAGCAATTTCAGCCTAAATTTTTTATCATCGCTCTAAGCTAATCAAAATTGAGAATCTGCTATAATAAACAACTAGGGTATTTCTTGCAATAATTATATAATTTGAGCACTTCATGCTAAATTAAAGCAATAATTTTGCTTTATCAACCAGAAAATAAAATTTTGGTATTGGCTAGCCGGTCAGCTAAGCTGATCTAGTCAACTATTATCAACTATGGCTATAGCCAGTTAGCTAGCCAGCTATAACCTAATCAAACTCATTTCTAATCATTACAACTAGTAATAAATATAATATCTAGCCATTTTTCAACCCTTCTTTGATCTTTACTGGCTAAACTCTGATATTCAGCTATAGAAATATAGCCAGATTTTCTGATAGAAAGTTTTTTTGGACCAAAAGCTAGATTTTTCCAAATATTTCTCCTAAAAAGATTATTTTAAATGCATTTTTTTAACAGAAATTTTTAGCATAGTGCAAGATTCCGTTATTGAAATACTCACAAAATATCAAGAATACTTGATACAACTTTTGCAAGCTTTTTATTAGATTCTTTCCAGCTCTTGTTATGTATAAGTCTATTTATTATTTGGAATGTCTGTAATGCTATCTATAAAATTTAAAACAAATAAATTACACATATCTTTGACAAGAACTGGAGTGGTTACTTTTATACACTCTGCTAGATTCTATTAAGGTTCAAAGTATTAATAAAAATATCTTTGCCAAAGGTAGTTTTGGGGTTAAATAAGATGTTATTTACCAAAATCATTTACTATAAAATATTCATATTGTTACAAATAGATTGTAACACAGTGTGACAAAAGTATAGAATAGTTAGTTTATATATATATATATATATATATATATTTTTATTACTTTGGCAAGTCTAGATGTGACTTGGTCCAGCTATCTTTATAGTTGACTCTATGCTACTAGTGTCACAGGACCTCCATAATCTCTATACAGGAATCATGTGTATCTACCTGGAATCCATTGCCTGCCATTTCTTTGGTTCCCTCATTGGGGCCTAGATCTGACCACCTGCACGACACTCCAGAGAGGTCGAAACAACTTAATATTAGACTGGGATTTTACTAGCCAATCCGGTGGCGCCACGAGTTCTTGTAGTATCTTCTTAGACTTTGGCCTCACAGTACGTCTCATGACTTCGGTTATTCCAAATCGGGGTTCTAACATGCCTCGCTTCACAGCCACAACTTCTTGAAATAACTATTCCCCGAATATGTCTATTCGTAGATGTCCTGAGTTCTCTGTACCCCACGATGTTTCACTTCTATATTTGGATTTTCATTATTTCGCCGCTGGGAGAAATTGAACCGGCAACCGTCCAATTTGCAACCTGGGAGCATAACCACTATGCTATCAACCTACAGGTCTGTTAGTTTATATTCGAATATTTGTATTATTATTATTACATTATATTATTAGTTATTATTATATAGTTATATTTATTAGTATAGTATTTATTATCTTATTATTGTATTATTGTATTTAGTTATAGAAATATTATTGGTAATGCTGCACAAATGCCTCCAAGTGCCTCTGTACAAGTGCCTTCAAGTGTCTCTATACAAGTACCTCCAAGTGCCTCTGCACAAGTACCTCCAAGTGCCTCTGCACAAGTGCCTCCAAGTGCCTCTGCACAAGTGTCTCCAAGTACCTCTGCATGAGTATCTCCAAGTACCTCTGTATAAGTGCCTCCAAATGCCTTTGTACAAGTGCCTCTAAGTGTGGTTTAGCTGTTACACCTCCTATGTGTAGGAAAGTTATAAAAAGAGAGCTTCTGCCCTTTCTGCTCAAGTTAGAGTTTTCCTACTCTCTTATAGAATCTAGCCTTATATTATCCTACCCTTCTTATATTTGTATAGTATGATATTCCCTCTCTAAAGTAAATCCTACAGACAAGGTTATTACTATAACATCTGTGTTTAATAAAATTAATACAAATACTATTACTATCCCGAACCGTTTGCCTACTGCTATAAAGTATAGTGAATACTTTACTCCACTCTCTGTATATTTCTAACATAGGTTTCTCTACAGTGAGTGACCTTGTTACTCTGCTATATTGTTGATAGAAGGCTATAGCATTGTAACAATATGCTTCTATGTTTTTTGCTTCTAAGATTCTCACTATTTTCGAATCTGCACAAATTACTTTACTTGCAAGTGGGACTTTCTATATTAAATACTTCCAAAAATACTAGGCATACAGAGCTGTACTAGTTGCAAGATCAGTCTTTAATGCACACAAGTTCGTTTCGATTTCATTCTTAGTAAGTGCACCCTGTTTTGATATTTTAATATTTCAAAGACTATACATGCCTTCATATACATCATCAAACTAGCGCAAAAACCTTATATTAATACTAGTACAGACAAACTTGTGTATAATAATAATGCATACACACCTATCAGAATACTTCATATAAAATTACCAACTATATATGGCCGGCATATATTTGACAATGCACATGAATGATACAAATATATTATCATAAACCAGAACTAAGATCTTACCTTCTTGTGTCTAAGGAATTAAAATTTTATTAACTTTGTGTCTACAAGGCTTATAGATATTTACTTAATTTGGTTGTATATAATTTTGCAAAATCATTATTAGATTAAAGGCATAATAATATATAAATTTTTTAACCTTCAGAGAGATTTCAATGAGCTTTTGATATTTCTCTAGATTTGGGTTATAAAGATCTTTTAATTTTTCAACTACCTGCTCAACTACTGATTGGAAATCTTCTTTTAAATACTACATATCATCTTCTATTACTTGAAAAACAACAGAAAATGCTGTAATATGATCTGGGGGCAACTCAAGTAAAAAATCATGAATAACTTTATACAAGGTAGAATCAGACATGATGAGTAAATTATTATAATTTAATGTTATAATTACTATAAAATGACAAATAACAATAAAATTCGAGATACTACCTTTTTATATATTTTTCTTTCCTACAATAGACGTTGAGACATGTGTTTCCATGCAGAGAAATTTTTATTGATAATAAAAAAGCATGGTAAAGAATTTCTATATAAATATATGCATCATGAGTTATAACACTATGTAAAGTTAAAATCATTAAAAAATAACTTGATATTCCATCATACATACATATATTAGATAAGATAAGATCTTTTTTTAGATCGCCACCAAATTTTCACCGGTATGTGGTCATGTATAATACATCTAATAAATTTTTTAAAACTCATTTAGGTTAGGGTTGTTTATGCTAAGGTTAAGTTTGAGGAATTTTAATAGTAAAAACACTCAAAGAAAACTTTTTATTACCGCTGTTTTCATTATTTCTGAAACATCTATAAATAAATTAGCCAAAAAATTTTTTGGCCAGTTATTTTTTTAGCATAATAAATTTAATAAAAATTGATATACTGTAATATACATAATTTAAAATTAGGTGGCTAATATAAATAAAAAATTATGCACATTCTTGAATTCAAAAAATATGATATTTTTAAATCATATTTGCTAGCAAATTATTAAAAAAAATTTAGAAGACCTATCAACTTGAAAATTGCAAAACACTTAGGTGTTAGCAGGCCTTTTATAAGTTGGGATCTTGTGTATTTTTGAAAATATGGTTGTATTAAAAAACTTCCATTACTTTTGGGAAAACCATGCTCTTTAAACATGAATGATATAAATTATCTTCAAATTTTAATGAAAGAAAAAGACTAGTACTTATATAAATTACAATCTGAGATAGAACTTTGGTTGAAATGTAACATTAGTTTTACAACAATTTGGAGGGCTATACATATACACACATAAAGATAATATTTTATATTTTTTATACATGTTTTTATTTTGTGAACTTTTAACAATTTTATAAAAGGCTCTTTCGTATTAATAGCTTCTGATTCAGGTTCTTTCATATTAATGGCTTGGATTTATCCATACTAGATTTAGTACATTGTACTAGATTTAGTATATCATTAAACTATATTATCTACTAATTTTTAAAATTAACTACCTTATTAAATATTTTTGTATTATACTTTAACCTTTTGC